CTCTAAGTGGTTTGGAGGCCTAGAACTGGGGGGACTGGATAGAGGGGTGGAGAACATAGGTTCTATGCCACAAGCTGCTTATTATGACTTGACATCATTATAATAGCCATCAATCTACTAAAATATTTGTGTCAAGTGTTTTCAGTGGGTTAATCTGTAGATTTTACATTTCTTCAGTGTTTTTCTTATTTTTCTTTAAATTTTTTTTTCTTAGAAGTTTTCAGAAAGAAGAAGGAGTAGGGAGGGAAGTGTGGAGAACTGCCAGTTTCAGCCTGGACCATGTTCAGCTTGGATAGGGAGAAGACCATCAGTAAAGGGCCTTGTTGTTGAGCTAGGGGATCTGGACTGTTGCCCTTGATGTAAGAGGCCAGGGTGAATGGCACAGTCCCCAGGCATGTGCAAGGGATCAGGGTGGGCCTCAGAGTGTGCTGGGTGAGAGACACTGCACCTCATGGGCACAAAAAGAGGTGTGGCAAGCCACCAGAGGATGAGGACAATTGGGCTGTCCCAGGGCCTATAGTCCTATGGTTAATTCCCTCAGAATTACCAGGTGAATGGACTTGAGATCCCTACTCTGCCACTTACCAGCTTTTTGACCTTGGGTTTTATGATTATCCAGGAGTCAGCAAATGAGGTGTCAACCAGGGACTCCTCCCCAGAGGCAGGGCATGGCCTAGACAATCTCCTCTGGATGCTACTTAGAGGCTGAGGCCATCAAGGGCACTCTTGGCTCTGTGGCAGCAGGTGAGAGGACACAGGTGCAAGATCAGGGTCTCAGTGTGAATCTGGAGTCCCACAGCCTTCCCAGAATCTCAAGGGTGTAGCATTTTGGTCCTTGACCCTTGCATCCTCTGTAATTTAAACCTTTATAATTAGGGGAAAGGAGGCTTTGCTCAAATTTAGGATTGGGTATATAGCATTCTGCAATGTATGGACTCTGGAGAGGGAACAAAAAGCCGGGGACAACAGGTCTGCCTACCATAGGATGTCATCTCACTATACCAAGAAGTTTAGAGCCTGTGATAGTGTAAGGAGTGCGGAGGGAAGGCCTGTACATATATCAGTTCTTCATATGTTCCTGTATTAAATCCTCAAACAACTGAACAAGGCATGGGTTATTTTAACCTGCTCCTCTGGTAAGGACACATAGGCTCAAAGAAGTTAAGTGACATGCCCAAGGCCATACAACTAGAAAGTATATCGTTGGCTGATGATAGAGTTCATGATCAGAAGACTTCCAAATTCTTTGTGTCCCATCGGAAAGAATACATGGCAGGACACATGGGTGCAAATGTAGCTTATTAAAAGTTAGGGAAGGGCAATACAAAAGGGAGCATAGTGGGCCCATGTAGAATCTGGATGCAGAGAAATCATGCTTCCCTTCTCCAGATGCTTTGAAGACTTATGCTGACCTATGGGAAGGGAGGAACAGGTGATTCCCATCTAATACTCAATGAGTGGGCAGAAGCATGGGTGATTCCCAGCCAGGTGAGGGTGTCCCTGAGCCAGAGCATGGTCAATCTGAAATGCAGTATTTTTCTATGAGTTCCAACCTTTCCCCAACTCTAGCCTGCCTCAAGCGAAGTAACCAGGGTTCTAATCAGGTATTTCTGACTCTACACGTTCTCCAGTGGTGGTGTCAGGCATCCTGTTGAGTGACAGAAGAAAGACACACACTTGAGCAGGGTTTCAAGAGTTCCTGGGAGCTAGGCACTGTGTGGGGAACTCACATGGCTTCCTCTCTTTTCTACAATGCTCCAGGAAAGTGAAGGCACATTTGGCTGTTGCTCTGGACATTGAGATCTCAGACAAAGAAGTCTCCACATGGCTCTTTATCACATCCGTAAATACCAGGAGAGCGACCACAAATGGATCCTGGGCTTGTTCTCCAGGGGCATGGAAGAACACATCCCTGCCACCTTTCGCCATATGCTGATGCTGTCTCACATCCTCCTGCTCTTACTTGGGGAGCCTCTCTCTCTATTCCTGGTCTATGACTCTTGGATCCTGGCCACTGTGTGCAGCTTCACCTTGCTACTTTTCCTGTGGTTCCTGGCCAAATACCCCTGGAGGCAGTATGTGGTCACATGTTTACAAACAGACATGTTTGACATCACCAAATCCTACCTGAGTTCATGTGATTCCTGCTTCTGGGTCGCTGAGTGCAGAGGGCAGGTGGTGGGTATGGTGGGTGCTCTGCCAGTGAAGGATTCCCCCTTGGGAAAGAAGCAGTTGCAGCTGCTTCATATATCTGTGGCCTTAGAGCACCGAGGAGAAGGGATAGCAAAAGCCCTGGTCAGGACTGTCCTTCAGTTTGCCCAGGACCAGGGCTATAGTGAAGTTGTTCTTGAGACTGGCTCATTGCAGTGTGATGCCTTAGCCTTATACCAGGGAATGGGCTTTCAGAAGACAGGCCAATACTTCCGGTCCATACTCTGGAGGCTAGTAGGCATTTATACAGTTCAATTAAGTTATGGCCTCCATTCTGGACAGGAAGGGAGCCTGTGATCTGTTTCTACATGTGAGCAGGATTCATTCCACTCCATTATAGTAACAAGCAAAACCTGATAAATCTGTGATATTAACAATAAAACTAATTTCTTGTGCACGTCTGAGTCCATTGAGTCTGATGGTTATGTACGGTTGTTAGGCCTCTGCTCTACTCAGGCTTTCTGAGGTACCAGTTTCCTTTGTCTAGCACTACATTAATGTTGCATTAAAATCAATACAAAACACTAACTCTTGGGGTCTCATGACACCTATATAAATATCTTGGGTTGGCTTAAGTACCAGGGACACTATTTCATCCTGTTCCAGAAGGCTAGTCCAGGCTGGGTTCTAAGTCTTGGCAGAGCAGCCAAAGCAAAAGCAAACAAGCAAGAGCTTTTCCAAGCCACTGCAGTTGTCAAATGTGTAACATCCTAGACTAGAGGGAGTAACATAGTATCCTTTGTAGTACAGAGTCACAAAACAAAGAAACTGCAAATCACCCTATGAGAATATGACCAGGAAGGTACCTTATGTGCTCTGGTCTCATTACTACAGACGGGTAGGAAGTTGGTTGGGAAGGAATAAGGGTTATTTTTAAGGAAAGACCTGGATGTGTTGAACCCTCAAGGGAGTATCAGGACCAAGGCATGTACCTTGGGAAGGCCACACATGTAACAATCCCATGGGTCCAGGAAGAGGAGGTGGGATGATAAATACCCCAGACTGCCACCTTGAGACAAGCCAGGTGGCAGCTTCTCTCTCAAAGTGCTTAGGGACTCCAAAATTTGTAAGTCTCAATATCATCCTGGAAACCTGTGACACAAGGGAGAGTTTGGATATGGTGATGTGGAGCAAGCTTTTTTTCTCATTCCCTTGTTAGAGACAGCTTTCTCTCGCTCCTGGTTATTACTGAACCCAAGTGGGGTTAACTGGGGCAACTGGAGATTCAGAAAAGACACAAGATAGAGAGTGTGTTGGGCGCTTAGGTGGAGATGCACAACCCTCATTGCTTCTTTTCTCTATCTTTATTCTTTAAAGTCTTACACCTTTACAGTTCTTTAAACCCTTGCTTCTAAAGTCTTCTTTAAAAACTTGCTTAAAACCTCTTTCCTTAGACTCTCTCTGTCCCACATTTTCTCTTAGACGTTCTTCAGCATAATCTCTCAGTCTTTGCCCTCAGACTTGCACTGCCTCTTTAGCTTTCTTAAAGCCTCGGTGCTCAGACTTTCAAACAACAGCAGCACCTAAAATCTGCATATGCATAACTCTTAAAGTACCAGTCCTTAGACTTGCACTGTGTTCTCTTTAGCTTTGCTTTAGCTTAGCTTTTAAAGTTCTTGGTGCAGCCTTTCTATCAACCCCTCTTTAGAAATTCCCCTTTAGCAATTCTTTTCCCTTCCAAAAGCCTCCCACACCAAAAAACCAAAAGCCCAAAAGCCTACCCCATCAAAAAACCAAAAAACAAAAGCCCCCAAAACAAAAGCCTAAGCAAAAAGCCTTGTGTCCTCCTTCAATGAGTCTTTTATACCCAGTGGTAAACAGGGTGAGCAGCAGTTCTTGGAGAGGGGCATGACAATTTAACAGGAGAAACCTGCGTTCCTGCTTCTCTGAAAGTAAACAACTTAGGAACAGCTGTTCTGCATCTCCCTCTACTGTGGCCAGGGCTGTGTTATCTTGCCCTACAGATAATTTTAGGAAAATCAGTTGAGCTGCATCTCACCTTGCTTACGTCCAGTTCTCATAGCCTTCTCATAATCCACTTTCCACATTTCCTCCTGTTTTTATTTTTCTTTTAATGCTCCCAATGAAACCCATTCTCCAATCCAAGGAGTTGTTTTGAAACCTGGATCCAGTCTCTCAAACACAAGGTAAAACCTCTCTGACTACAAGCTGCCTGCAAGGCCTGTAGGGGACACTTTGCAAAAGCAGAAGTCTCTTGACCCCTGGAGGTGACCCCTCATACATGGGTCCCTGTACTTCATGGGCCTGAGCATCCTCCTGATCCTCCTCATCTGACACTGAATCAGAATCTCTGGACTGAGCTTTACTTTTAAGGTGGGCTGATGGCTCAGCACATCCACTGCCCATAGCATCTTGTTACTGCCTCTCACACTCCTGTATGACTGCTTGTAAAGGATGGGTCCCACATCCCGGCTCAACTACCAAGGAGGAAAATCTTTGTTCTTGCTTCTATTTCCTTACTTTATTCTACTGCTCTGCCATAGTTCTACTGCTCTACCATAATTCCTCTACCAAATACTCCCTTATAATTTCTACCTTATAATTTTTCTACCATATTCTACCATAAAATTCTACCTTATAATTCTTAATTCTTCTACTGTATAATTTTTAACATAGCTTTTTAAAGCCTATATCTAGAGCTCTCAGTCCTTAGACTCACCCTATCCCATGGTTTTATACCTGGCTGTATTCAATTCACTCTCCCCCACACCTTACTTGTTTCTTAGTATATGTGATATGCATGCTTCTTGGAGAGTGTCTCCTTGTCTCAGGCTTCAAGTTCCCCTGTAGTTAGGTTCCCATCCAGGTGTCACTTGCCCTCAGGTCCCTGTTCAGGCGCCACCTCTCTTGTCCTGCATGAGCTTGTCCTATAAACCTAACAGGGTGACAGGAGATTCAGAAAAAGTCAACAGACTGAAGATCAAACATGCATAAAGCTGAAGCCAGGTAGGTTGGGTGCTCAAATGGAGGAAACACACTAGCACCCTCCGCCTCCAGCAAGTTTATTATATACAGTGGCAAAATGAGGTGGAGAGGCAGTTCTCGGGGGAGGGGGCATGACACTGTAATTCTCGGGAAAAGGAGAAACCTATGACAGCTTCTCTCTGAATGTAAACATCTTAGGAAAAAACAGCTGTACTGCATATTGCCCAATTCTGCAACTGAGGCTGTGCCAACTCAAGGGTGCAATTTATTGGGCATAACTATGCTTGCTCCCTACTACAGTTTGGAGCTGTGCCAAACTCAAACCCACAGTTTGATACACCTGTGCTTATGCAGTTTGCTCTCCACAGTGATGTTTGCAGCACTGTCTCCTTTTCCCAGATATACTTCTCTAACACTGGGGTACTCTTGGGTGTTTGGAGCCTCCCACTGGGTCCCCTAAATTAGAGGCTGGCCTCTCACTGATCAAAGAAGTCCACAGGTCAGATGATTTGGGCACACCTGCAACTCCACCTAGTTGGAAGGCAGAAGTAGAAAAATCTTGGTTTGAAGTATGGTTCAAGGCCAATCCTAGAAAAAAGTTAATGAGTCCCTATCCCAAAAATGAGCTGGGTATGATGATACATAACTGTAATCCCAGTTACTTAGAGGAGGCAGAGGTAGGAGAATCAAATTCCAAAGCCAGCCCCAAGCAAAAGTGCAAGATCCCACATGAAAAATAAAACTAAAACTCTGAAGATCAATGTGGATCAAAAAAAAATAAATATATAATAAAATAAAATAAAGCAAAAAGGGCTATCTATGGTGTGGCTCAAGTGGTAAAGTGCTTGCCTAGAAAATGAGAGGCCCTGAGTTCAAACCCCAGCAGGGGGGAAAGCAGAAGCCCAGGTGTCCCTCAGCCAGTAACTTGTCAGTGTGGGTGTCCTCTCTCACCCTGCATTGTTTCTGCTCACAACTATCTCTACTGAGGGGACAGCTGGGCCAAACACTGCCCCTTGAAGGACAAAGGATTAAGTACCAATGGTAGCCAGAATACAAGTAAGATGAAGAGTTTCCTGTCTGCTCTGAGGTTCTCTTTCCAACCCAGCCATCTGTGCATCTCACCTGGAAACTACAGCTGCCAACTGAACTTGTCACAGGCCCATTTCATCAACATAGAGACCCTTTGCCAGGTCATGGAGTGATTCCCTTGTGTTCTGGGACTATGTAACTCACCCTGCCTCCTCCATGCTGTTCTCCTTGCTCCTGGCCTCAGTGTCACCACAGTAGCATTTTATAGCCCATCCCTCTCTTTCAGGCCTGCTTCCCTGTGCGCCTATGAGAACTCAACCATCCACACATCTTTTCTCCTGTCACTCCCACTACTCTAAACCCATCACTGTTCACACTGAGCATTTATTGCATTCTGAGTTGTTGTTCCAGCTTTATACTCAATGATGGGGTCATCAGGGCAGCTCCCAGGAGGCTGGGCAGGATATGTAGCCTTTCTCCTGCTTTGAGGACATTAGCTCTCCTTGCCCAGAAAGGCCAGTACTTCCAGAAGCAGTTCCCCATTGGCACACAGCAGGGGTAAGCCCAGGTGGTCCCTGGGCTCTGAATGTTTTATTGAATAGCAGGGAAAGCATGCAGTACACAAGTAGGCAGGCCCTGTTGGGGCCCAAGAGATAAGAGCAGATGGGCCAAAGAAAGACATTCTGTGATTGTGAAATGATTGGGAAGTCCTGGGCACCCTGGAATGGCAGGCAAAGTCCTACCTTCTCCCAGTGGAGGAGCCCTCAGGGGCCAGGGTTTCTTCTCCTGGATATTCAGACCCAGGACTGCAGCTTGGCTTCCCTTGCTCCAGCCCCTGTGCTCACTCCCCAAACAAAGCCAGAGGCTCCGGTTCAATCAATTCTGTATGAGGCCTCTTAGTGTGCTGTTCTCTTAGCCTAGAAGTATTTCCTCTGCTCTTCCCTTGCCCTACTTCTGTGGGTTCAGCAACAGTTTCCAGGTGAGATTCACAGGTGACTGGGCTGGAAAGATACTTTGTGAGCAGGGAGAAAGCTCTCCATCCTGCTACCATTGAGATTTAGTCCTTCGTTCTTCAAAGTGTGCTCCTCACACCAGTTGCCATGTTGCCTGTTAAAAACAAGCTAGTCAGGGGAGCTTCTTATATCCCAGGACTAATACCAGCATGTGGAGTGTTCACTGTGGACAGCTCCTTCTACAGGCAACATGGTAACCAGCCTCCGGAAGAAAGAGGGGGCGGCAGGGTCCCTTGACTTTTGAGGCTCCCAAGCCTGGTCACCACTCCAACAAACAAAGAGGGAGGGAGGGGCCTCCCAATCCCAGCG